TTCACGGGGAGAATACTCAGTACGTGTAGCGTATTCACGGGGAGAATACGCAGTACGTGTAGCATATTCACGGGGAGAATACTCGGTACATGTAGCGTATTCACGGGGAGAAGACTCGGTACATGTAGCGTATTCACGGGGAGAATACACAGTACGTGTAGCATATTCACGGGGAGAATATTCAGTACATGTAGCGTATTCACGGGGAGAAGACTCGGTACATGTAGCGTATTCACTGGGAGAATACTCAGGACCACAGAACTAGTTTTGTCCAATACTGTCCAAAGTGAGAAACGTATGCCAATGAAATTAATGAACTCTTTTATACAGACCCAAAGGGAGATAAAAGGTTGATTTAAAACAAACCTATTCAAACACTAATGTGCTTTTGATTATTAATGTTTTGCTATTCATTCTAAGGCAAATAGACCTGGCAAAATTCAGAAAGGAGGAAAAAGAACTTCCAAAGTAGAATTATTTATCCCAGATAAAGAGTCTAAAGGATCATTAATTATGTGGTTTTTAACTAGCTTTTATTTGCACTTCTGAAATTCTTTATAACCTTCTTTCAAATATTTATTGAATGAATTTCCATGTGACTCTCTGGTATACACAGGAAACAGCCTGACTGTGGGAGCTAAACAAGGAAGTTTGATCGAGTTTCAACTTTTCTTCTGTCCCAAGGTAAGGAAACGCGTAATGTATCACCTCCACGTAATGTAAAGCCTGCACCTAAAAAACGTAGGAATATGTATATTTTAAATACAAATAGATGGGTACTGTTTAGTGTATAGTAGTACTAATTGTATAGTTGTACAGTATTGGTTTACAAAATATTCATATACACATTGTCATTTGATCATTGCAAAATTATTTCAAGTGGAGTTATATCATTATGTTTTAAAGTAAGAAATTCAGATGTACAGCTATCATACTATATTGACAACTAATCCAGCATTCATTCTGCCACATACACTAGCTCTTAAAGAAAAATAAAATATAGTTACTGAGTGCTTGCTAAGCACTTGGCACTATGCCAGGAAGCTAGGCACACGGTGTTGAACAAAACCTCTGACCTTGTCCTCAAAGGGATTTTAATTACTTCATTTAATATCTTTTACAAAATAGTTATATGATTGGTCACCTCTCTTGAATGGATAGAGAAATTTGTTGACTAGACTGAAAATTATAACACTAGAAAATAATTAATATCAAGGAGATGTCATTATAAATCTAATTTGAAATGGATCTACCCACTCAAATTAAGAACATAATGCTATACATTTTTACACAGACGTGATTCAAAGTCTTTAAAATACTCATTGGAAGTATAATCCATGTGATAACTATGCCTTAAGCTGGGTTTTCTATACATGCAAAACCAGTAAAGCTTATATATGTATACTCGTGTATAGAGAGAGGTTTCTATCAAGGTAATAGCTCACAGAGACAGCTAGGCAAATTATAAGTTCATGGGTCGAAAGTCAGGCTGTAGGCTTCTCCTGACTCACGTAGCTCCAGGGGGTGGTGAATCCAAGATCATCAGGTCAGATGGCAGGATTCTTGTTTTGCAGAAGTAAATTAAACTAAGATCAGCAAGTAAGCTGGCAGTCTGCTGACCATTCACAGGATCAATACAGCAAACTTCTGACTCAAATCCAAAGAACCAGAGTTTAAATGATGAGCCAAATGGAGGATCCAGATTCAGCAAAAGGCAAGTTAGCTTTCCACAGCATCCACTTCTAATGGAAGCAGGCCACACCCTCAAGAAAACCTTATCCTGGGGGATTGGTACATCTTAACCATCGAGAATCCTGGCCCAGCCAACTTGACAAAAAAAACTGTGGGTTGAAAACGGCAAAGTCAGTAGTTCAGAATCACTAATTTACATGCCCCTAGGGAGGAAGACAGGGTTTTCTACTCCCAAGAAGAGTCACAGTCTCAGAAACTCAAAGGGGCAGTTCTATCCTGTCATATAGAGTCACGATGAGTCTGAATCTACTTGGTGGCAGTGAGTTTGAGTTTGGTTATTAAACTTTGACTTACCAGTTGCTGTCAAATGGCTTTGGACTCATGGGACCTCACGTATCACATAAAACTGTGCTCCATAGGTTTTCAATAGCAGATGTTTGGGGAGTACATGGCTGGGCCTTTCTTCAAAAAACACAATGATCAATGGAGAAGGGATCGAAGCTATCAATGATTTTTTTCTTGCTTGGATCCACATCAGTGTTCATGGAAGCAACAATCAAGAGATCAAACACACATTGCATTGGGTCACTCTTGTGCACAAGATCCCTTTAAAGTGTTGAAAAGCAAGGATATTACTTTGAGGACCAAGGTGCACTTGACCCAAGCCAGGGTATTTTCAATAGCCTCATATGCATGTGAAGCTAGACATTGATTAAGGAAAACCAAAGAAGAAAGAATGCAATTGAATTATGGTGCTAGTGAAGATTATTGAAAGTATGGACAGCCAAAAGAACAAACAAATCTGTCTTAGAACAAGTACAGCCAGAATGCTCATGGCGGCAAGAATGGCGAGACTTCATCTCACAGACTTTGGACATATTATCAGGAGAAACCAGTCCCCGGCGAAGGACATCATGCATGTTAAATAGAGTGGCATTCAAAGGGAAGAAGGCCCTTGACAAGAGGAATTGACAGACTGCAACAATGGGCCCAAACGTTAAGAACAATAGTGAATATGATGCAGAGCCAGGCAACAATGCATTCGCTCGGATATTGGGTTGCTATGAGTCAAAACTGACTTAGGTGCTTCTAACAGCAACAATTTCAAAATGTCAGTGACTTAATGCAATGAACGATCATATCAAATCCATGCAAGGTCAATCAGTAGGTTAGAAGACTAGCATTCTGCACAGTCATTCATGAAACAAGTTAAGAGAAGTTTTATCATCATCCAGGGTTGCTCCGGACATTGGTATCGAACTGGCAGACTTGAGAGAAAAACAGACGTTTTTTAATGGGTCTAGTTTTCCCTCTACATGCCATTGTCTAGAACTCTGTCTCATGGCCAAATCTAACTACAATGTGTTAGACATGTGTAGAAATGTGTAGACAACACCAACTGTGCCCAAGATAAAAGGAAAATTGGCTTTCTGAACCACTAGCCATCATCTGTCAAAACTGGTTTATAGTTGGGTAACAGAAGAAATTATTTAACCCTCCACAGCTGCCTCTGTAAAATGGAGGGACTGTATTTCACTTCAATAAAAATACCATCTTTTATGCACTATTATTTTATGTGGCATTAAGAACAAAAATGTTGCCAATTAAATTAGACACACCATGAATTGCAATGCACCCTGATTTGTGCTTTTAAAAAAATTCTATCCAGAAGAGATCAATTGACCACAGCAGCTTGAAAGTTTAGATAAGGAGCTTGGGAACTTATGTTAATAAGGAGAAACAATGTGGTAAATGAAAGAGAGGCTGCACAAGTCAGGGTGCGATGTAACAATGATGAGAAATACAACCTTCCTCTAGTTCCTAAAGGTTTTCTCCCCGCTCCCACTACCATGATTCAAATTCTATCTTGCAAGACTGGCTAGACCAGAGGAGATACACTGGTACAGATAGGAACTGAAAATACAGGGAATCCAGGATGGATGAGCCCTATAGGACCAGTGGTGTGAGTGGCAAAACAGGGAGGGTAAAGGGAGAATGGGTAGGAAAGAGGGAACCAATTACATGGAACTGTGTGTGACCTCCTCCCTGGGGGACAGACAACCGAAAAGTGGATGAAGGGAGAAGTCGGACAGGGCAAGATATGACAAAATACCCATTTATAAACTATCAAGGGCTCATGCGGGAGGGGGGAGCGGGGAGGGAGGGGAAAAATGAGGACCTAATGTCGGGGGTTTAAATGGAGAGAAAATGTTTTGAGAAACGATGTACAAATGCGCTTTACACAATTGATGTGTGTATGGATTGGGATAACAGTTGTATGAGCCCCTAATAAAATGTTAAAAAAGAAAAAAAAGAAAAGAAAGAGAGGCTGCACAACCGAAAAACAGAACCAATGCCATTGAGTAGTATGTGCAGAAATGAGAGAACTGGTGCATGGACCAGGTATGTGACAGCTACATTTTCAGCAGCAGCATAGTCATAAGAGAAGATAGGCAACTTAGAATTGAATACTAGTATAGCACTACTACTTGCCTCCCTGGATTACTGGAAAATTAAATAAGGCAATACTACACATAGGCGATCATATTGCAGCGTTACCACAGGGCTCTGAGTTTTCAGTGAACTAAAAACATCTATAGTAACACCAAGTCAAGCTTTCACAGAGGCAGGTCTTGGTTTTGAAACACAAAGCAGGTCTCTGATGACGCCTTCTTCCAGCTGTACAGCAGAATCATGAGAGATGAACCTTCTT